CGTTTCGGTAGTAACCACTACCCTTATCAAGTTTAAATTAAAAGCACTGAAAAAATTTTTTTTGAGAGTAACAATTGATTTTATAATTTTATGTACTTATTTAAAATCCAGAAAAAGTGTATACTTACATAAAGCATTGTCAAGAAAATAATTAAGTTTTTGTAAAATAAAGTATTTTAAATATTATATCATTTTCGTTCAATTAATAAAATTTTTTTTTTTTTTTTTGTGTTATATAATTAAAATTTAAAAGGATGATTTTTTATCCCTATATTGTATATAGTGATAATATAGAAATTTCAGATATCAATTCTATAGAGATTTAGGGATTTTAATACTACAGAGATTGTATGGATGGTGGTAATGTAGGTAATTAGGTTATCATATTATTATTATACATTATTTAAAAAACCCTGGTAGATGTTACCCAACTTTTCAATATCTGTTTTAAAATTTATTGAATGTTTTTCTTTTACTATATATATCATTTCTAGAAACTTTCTTTTATGATAGTTAATAACATAAGTTTTAATAACATAAGTTAATAAACAAACAATTGTGGAAAAACTGGCCTACAAATTATTTAAATTAATATATTAAGAATCCACAAATAAAATTTCATCTAACTAAAAACATTGGCCTTAAAATATGGATACTTCTTCTACATGTGGCAGAGATCAACATAACCTGTCAACAGTTTCAAAATTTACGCATCATAGTTACCAACCAACATCACCAACTTACGAAGGATTTTATCATAAAATATCACAAACATATAATAAACAAGTAGTGTCAAACATTAAAATCTGGAAAAAGTTAAGTATAAAATTATCAAAATTATATAATCAAAGAAGATTTCTTCTAAGGTTAAAAAGCAATGCTTTATTACCAAATCATATTATTCATAATACTAAAAATAAAGTTAATTTCTTCTCTTACAAAAATTTTCAGAAAATTCAATTGAGTTTAATCATTTATAGAAATAGGATCAGAGATGTTGAAATTTCAGATATTAACATTCATATTCATTTTATAAAAAATAAATTAAAATCTTTTGAAAATAAAATAATAAATGAAACTTCAAACGAATTTTTTAATAATATTAAATATAATCAAAATATTTCTCTTGATAAATTTCAATTTAAAATTAAAAACAAATCAATTAATAAATTTAATAATATTGTTAAAAAGCAAGATAACAATGTAAAGACAGATATTAATAATTGGCTTATTAACAAAAGTGACATCATAATACCCAAGAATGTAGCAGAAATATTAAGTCTTGGTGGAAAATTTGCAATTCCTTATAATAAAAAAAATTATCCACTTCCCAAAATTATAGCCAATATTGAAAATTCTATTTATAATGTGCCCAATAAAATCAAAAATTCAATTAGAAACAATGTTTTATACTGGATTCAAAATTGGTACTATAAACAACCAAAAATAACTTTTAAACAACTACAAATAGAAAAAAAAATAAAAGAAACAAAACAATTTTTAAAAAATAATCCTGATTTAATAATAACTAATGCAGATAAAAGTAACAAAACAGTTATTTTAAAAAAGCAGGATTATAATAAAAAAGTTTTAGATTTACTGAGAGATGACAATACTTATTCTAAACTTAAAAATAATCCAACTGCAAAAATACAAAATACTTTAAAAGATCTAGTCGACTCATGGTATAAAAAAGAAATTATAAATGAACATACTAATAAATATCTAAAATGTACAAATGGTTTAGCACCAAAATTTTATATCTTACCAAAATTACATAAAGATAACTGTCCAGGAAGACCAATAACATCATTTATAAATTCACCATTATATAATTTATCAAAACTTTTAGCAAACGTTTTGCAAAAAGTAGTCATAACGAATGAATATAGTATTAAAGATAGTTGGACTTTTAAAAAAAAAATGGACGATATATTCATTCCAAATAATTTTACAATAATCTCCCTCGATGTTATCTCGATGTATACCAATATATCATGGGAATTAATCAAAAAATGTATTAAACGCAGATGGAAAGATATCCAACCTCACACAACTTTAGATCTAGACGAATTTATTAATGCAATAACACTATGCTTAGAAAATTCATACTGCCAATTCCAAGGTGAATTCTATCAACAAATTTTCGGATTACCAATGGGATCCCCCATTAGTGCCGCATGCGCAAATCTTGTTATGGAATATTTAGAAAAAAAAATTCTTAAAAACATCAAATACAAAATTATTTTTTATTACCGATATATTGACGACACTTTAATTTGCCTACCAAAAAATAAAATAAATACCTTTTTCGATAAATTCAACTCAATAGACGAAAAAATAAAATTCACTTTGGAAGAAGCAACAAACAACAATATCAACTTCCTAGACTTAACGTTGTATATAGAAAATAATAAAATAATTACAAATTGGTTCAGAAAACCAATATGGTCAGGACGATACATAAATTACGATTCTGAACATTGTTTAAAATATAAATTAAGTGTTGTCATCGCTCTAGTCGATCGCGCGGTCAAGTTGGCAGACGAAAAGTTCCATAAAGAAAATATTGTAATCGTTAAAGAAACTCTTCTAAAAAATGGTTTTCCAATTGACATACTGAACAAAAAAATTAAAGAAAGATATAACTATTTAACAACTAAAAATAATAATATTAATCCACATAATAATGAGAATATAACAACTATCTCATTACCATACATCAAAGACCTTGAAAATATCTTCTATAACATCTTTAAAAAATTCAATATAAGAATTGTTCAATCGATCGAAAATACAATTCAAAAAAATATTCTATTTTCAACTAAAGATAAAGTGGAAAAAAAACAACAAATTAACACCATATATAAAATACCATGTTATAATTGTGATAGTGTGTACATTGGAGAATCATTAAGATTTCTGCAAACGAGACTGACGGAACATGCTCGAGATGTTAAAAATAAAAAAACGAATACAGCCTTAGCTACGCATGCTTCCGAAAACAAACATAACTTTGATTTCAATAAAGTGGCAATTTTGAATACAGAATCAAACTATCATAAAAGAAAGTTTCTAGAAATGATATATATAGTAAAAGAAAAACATTCAATAAATTTTAAAACAGATATTGAAAAGTTGGGTAACATCTACCAGGGTTTTTTAAATAATGTATAATAATAATATGATAACCTAATTACCTACATTACCACCATCCATACAATCTCTGTAGTATTAAAATCCCTAAATCTCTATAGAATTGATATCTGAAATTTCTATATTATCACTATATACAATATAGGGATAAAAAATCATCCTTTTAAATTTTAATTATATAACACAAAAAAAAAAAAAAAAAAAAAAATTTTATTAATTGAACGAAAATGATATAATATTTAAAATACTTTATTTTACAAAAACTTAATTATTTTCTTGACAATGCTTTATGTAAGTATACACTTTTTCTGGATTTTAAATAAGTACATAAAATTATAAAATCAATTGTTACTCTCAAAAAAAATTTTTTCAGTGCTTTTAATTTAAACTTGATAAGGGTAGTGGTTACTACCGAAACGTTGTTTTAATAACATAAGTTAATAAACAAACAATTGTGGAAAAACTGGCCTACAAATTATTTAAATTAAAATTTTTATTGAATCGTCCAAGAAAATGCAAACCATTGAGGCATTTCACGTCAGAAATATCACGATTTGCAAAGGGTATGCCGATTTTCGCAAAACTTCGTGGGATTATAGTTCTATATAAGAGACTTCTTTCCCCCAAATTTTTTCAAAAAAAATTCAAAATTGTTGAAGATACGCCATTTTGAATTTTAATATTAATTTTATAAAATTTTGAATATCTCGAAATATTGTTTATGGATTTTTATGAATTTTACACATTTTTCAGGTAAAAGTATGTACTTTAAAATGCAAATAAAGTTAATAAAAAAAATTAATTTTTAAATAAAAAAATTTTTTAAAAATTTTTTAAACAATTTTTTGTTTATTTACTCTTCTCTGAGAAAAATGTTATTAACATATTTAAATTCCTTATGAATTCACCTTTAATTTCATAAAAAAAATTGATGGAGACTCAACTGGTTCCGGAGATATTGAATTTTTTGTAAAAATAGTCATAGTTACAGCAGCAATGCACGACTGCGGTAACGTACTGCGCGACTTGTGCAGTATGGTGCTATGGCGCGGCGACGCTTTTTTTACAAAAAATTCAATATCTCCAGACCCAGTTGAGTCTCTATCAATTTTTTTATAAAATTAAAGGTGAATTCACAAGGAATCCAAATATGTTAATAACATTTTTCTCAGAGAGGAGTAAATAAACAAAAAATTGTTTAAACAAATTTTTTAAAATTTTTTTATTTAAAAATTAATTTTTTTTTATTAACTTTATTTGCATTTTAAAGTACATACTTTTACCTGAAAAATATGTAAATTTCATAAAAATCCATAAACAATATTCCGAGATATTCAAAATTTTATAAAATTAATATTAAAATTCAAAATGGCGTATCTTCAACAATTTTGAATTTTTTTTGAAAAAATTTAGGGAAAAGATGTCTCTTATATTGAACTATAATCCCACGAAGTTTTGCGAAAATCGGCATACCCTTTGCAAATCGTGATACATATTTCTGACGTGAAATGCCTGCATTTGGTTTTCCTTCAAACGCAAACTTTAATAAACTGATCCACATGATTATTATTTAAATTAAAAAAATATTCATTTAATTTAAACAAACTTTATTAATAATAACACACACAAATATGAATTATTATAAATGAACGCAGAGTATTTATAGTTACAGTCCAACAAAGACTACAGTTATTGTAAATTTTACAATAGTATTGCAAACCGTTTTCGTCAGAGAAACATTTTTAAATGTTTCTTTTATATCTATACCGAATATCACTAATTATTATTAGTAATCTCATGGCTGACTTATTGCTTTAGTAGAGGAGAACTGGGTGAGGCAGCCAATTGCTTCTTATTTCTGCATAATTTTTTCAAATAGTGCGCTATTGATAATGTACACGAAAAAAAATTAATCTCTAAACTTGAAATAATATTAATTTCAAATCCAATGAAATATAAGTGTATCTAAATTAAACATTATAGTCACAATTACTGTGATAAGTTGTGTTTGATTCTGTCAAACTTTATACCAGAAAATGCCATAAATTCACATATCTGATTTAGAGATTTGTTAATTTCACAACTTTTTTGATGTGAATTACATTGTGTTTTAAGTTAATCAGTGACAAAAGAGATTTAAACCATTTTAATTAATTAAGTATTAATTTTATTTTCAAATATCCAAACAAAAGCGGTTCCATACGTTCCAAAGGGAATTTTAAATATTACTCCTTGCCTGCAGTTTTTTTCAGTTTTCATTTTCCGTATTTTACGAATGTTTTTCGCGTCATCACGTGGGACATATATTTTTATTTATTAGACTTATGTATCTCAACGGCTGATGATTTTATTACATCTTTTTGATTAAGTGGAATTTAATAGAGTACTTCCCTGTATTTGTTAAACTTATAATAAATATATGATTTTCTTTTGACACCTGAAAACCTAACCTATAAAAATTTTAACTAAAACATGTTTTTTTATTAAATGGAAAAATAATGTTTATAATGTGTGATGTTGAGACAATTTGATTAAAACAAAAAAAATTGGACAAGTGCGAGTTGTACTCGCACTGCAATGGCGGGTTCCGTACACAAATATTAAAACAATACTTGCAACATTTATCGGTAATTGGTAGAATTAAAATAAACAATTAAAAAAATATATTAAAATCATTTGATAAAAAAGAATAACTAAAAAAATTAAAGTATTGTATATATCTAATATTGTAAACAATAATAAGCTGAGGAACTATAATTTTGAAAATTTTGTTCCTCTGCTTATTATTGTTTACAATATTAGATATACAATACTTTAATTTTTTTAGTTATTTCTTCTTATCAAATGATTTTAATATATTTTTTTTAATTGTTTATTTTAATTCTACTAATTACCGATAAATGTTGCAACTATTGTTTTAATATTTGTGTACGGAACCCGCCATTGCAGTGCGAGTACAACTCGCACTTGTCCAATTTTTTTTTATTTTTAGTTAAGAAATTAAAGTCAGAAAACAATCTCTCATTTATTCTCTTAAAATTTCACTCTTCCTTAAAATATTTAATGCCACGTGTTTAAACTAAAAAAAATTAAAAAAAATTTTTTTTTTTTAAAAAAAAATTAAAAAAAAAATTAAAAAATTTTTTTTTTTTAAAAAGTTTCTTAAATACATTTTTTGTCGTCAGACTACTGTAATAATACACCAGGATACTAATTTTCAGCTCATTAGGTCAAATAATGTAAAAGTTAGGTAAAACAATTTTTTTTTTTAATTTTTTAGTTTTTCCTTGACAACGCTATGGCCATCATTACATATTAAGTTCTCTATATTTTTCCTGTAATATTCGAGTAAAAATACACCAGCATGCAAAATTTCAGCTCTCCATGTCGAATAGTTTAGAAGTTAAGGGGGGGGGAATGGTCACTTTTTATGCACTTTTGGCCAAAAATCTTGTTATTTCCTTGACAACGCTATGCCCATCACGTCCAATCACATTCGCTATATTTTTCCTGTAATCTACGAGTAAAAATACATATCTGGACCAAATTTGAGCTCTTTAGGTCAAATAGTTTAGCCGCTAGGGGGGGGGGACACGATTTGGCTACGGACAACAGAGTCTCACCAATAGGGTTCCGCCGATACACCGTAGGTGTACGGAACCCTAAAAATGAAATAAAAATATAAAATTCGTATTGTGTTTTAAAAATATCCAACTACTTTTTTATGCTTGTCAATGTATAGTTCATACAGGGAAAACAATATAAATATTTTGTGAATAATTCTCACTCTAAATTGTGATAAATTATAAATTCTTATTACATCGAGTTATTACAAAAATACAAATTATATAAATATACGACTAAAATTTTTAATATTGTTTATTCAAATAATATATTAGATTTCAATTTATTCAAATAAGTTGATAGTTTAGAACATATGTTCCATGTCATAAAATTTGAGATTCCTAATATCATTTTTAGGCATAAGAATATACGTGTTCTTCAGAATACTAATATTCGGATTAGATATAATACCAAATTTCAGTTTTAGTGATCTGCTTACATCTCACATCCGATTCCAGTGATAGTTTATGCCTAAATCTCAGATTAAATCTCTAATTTAGAGATTAATTTTTTTCCGTGTAGACTGCTTATGGTAGTTTACTTTAGTTGCTAACAGATGGGCATTATTGCTGCAGCAGTTTAGCAATGACAGTATCATTTATGAAAACAGACTTTTTGGATGTAACTTTTCTAAGAGTTATTTTTGTGATTTTAGTTAATTGAGTTACACGAATCAAATTCTTGTAAAGTGATTTTCAATGCAGAATTTAGTGCTGAAGACGATGGTGTTAATGGAATTGCGATATTTTTAATATTACGGGTTTTGTGAATGTTTTCTTAAAAAAGTACTCGTGGGGTTAGGCAGCCAACGCTAAATTTTTCGTCTTTTTGTGTTGATTTTATTGGTTCTTCTAAATGTTTTCTTTTTTTTCCTACTCCAATAAATTTTAAACTTAACATTGAATTTTATAAACCATTTTTTAAGAATAACAAATTTATATTTCCTTAAAATGTTAAATTGAATTTAATTAATGTTATTATTATAATATTATTTAAATGTAAATTTTTGAAGTTTACTAACAAAATAAAAGTAAGTTAAGGACAACTACCTTGTTATGTTTCACTAATTTGAACTTTAAGTTATGTTTTTTTAACTATTAAAATAGTTGGCCGCCTTACCCCACGTTTTTGCAAATATGCCAAAATTTGGTCCTTTGGGAAAAGGGTTGTAGAAATTTTTAGGTGCAACCTACGTCAAAATGATCTATGGCGATTTTTTAGCCAAAAAGACAAGCTTTCTAACGCGATATTAAAATTGAAAAAACCTATTTAAATAACTGCCTCGCAAAACTAAAATGTGCCGTCTTGGCTGCCTCGCCCCGTTCTCCTCTAATTAGAAATAGATAAATTCCTGAAAAGCATTTCATTATTTATAAAAAATTGGACAAGTGCGAGTTGAACTCGCACTGCAATGGCGGGTTCCGTACACAAATATTAAAACAATACTTGCAACATTTATCGGTAATTGGTAGAATTAAAATAAACAATTAAAAAAATATATTAAAATCATTTGATAAAAAAAATAACTAAAAGAAATTAAAGTATTGTATATCTAATATTGTTAACAATAATAAGTAGAGGAACAAAATTTTCAAAATTAGTTCCTTATTAAAAGTAGTGTCAAAAAACATGTTCTTTTTCCTTTCAAAAATTAATAACTTTAAGAAAAAATTTTTTTTTAGTTTCTAATTTTCTACATTAACGTAGAAATAAATTACTTACTGATTTCATCCAGTTTCAATATTGTTCGATTTTTTTTACTCAAGTTACAAGCCTTCAAAGTCAACTGACTATACTTTTTGAACCGATAGTAGTATTATATTCCCATGCATTTGTGCCAACTGAATCCGAATCCGAAGTCAGAATTGTCAGATTGGTTCTTCTTTTTGAGTTATACTCAAAAAACGACTCAAAAACCGAATTAAAATCAAAGGAAGAAAATTTTTTGCTGTGACACTATGACAGGTTTAAAATTTTAAGTTAAACTCAAAAAACAAATTAAAATCAAAAGAGAAACATTTTTTTCGTCGAGACACTACACGAGTGTATTTCTATGTATTTTTCTCCACTATATCCGAATTTGAAGTCAGAATTGTCTGATTGGCTAGACATTTTGAAATAAACTCAAACATACGAATTAAATTAAAAAGAAAAATAATTTTGTGCAACGACAGTAGGTACTTTAGTGGATATTGATTTATTTATAAGTTTGTCGGTGTTATTACACTCTTTTAGATTACAAATTTTGAGATAATCAAACAATTCTGGCTTTAAATTCGGAATTAGTGTGAAAAAATACATCGGAATACATTTTCGTAGTGTCTAGGACAAAAAAATGTTCCCCTTTAGATTTGAATTTGTTTTTTGAGCATTTTTTTAGTTTAACTCAAAATTTTGAGCCAATCAAGCAATTTTTACTTCTAATTCGGATTTAGCGGAAAAAACGCATAGGAAAACACTATAGTTTCTCGAACCAAAACATTTTTTCCTTTCTGATTTTAATTTGCCTTTAGAGCAGTTTTTTCAGTTTAACTCAAAATTTTGAGCCAAAATGATAATTTTGACTTCGAATTTGTGACATTAGGAAATTTTTTTTTATTTTAATTCAGGTTTTTAGACGTTTTTGAGTCCTTCTCAAAAATTGTTAGCCAATCTAACAATTCTGACTTCGAATTTGGATTAAGCTGACAAAAATACATATTATTATTACTAACTATTTAATTAGTAAACTATTACTTTTTTAATTATTGACTGACTTTTCGCTACTCTGTTAACTTAATACAGTAGAACCTCGATAAGTCGAACCTCGATAAGTCGAAAACCTCTGTAAGTCGAAGAAAATGTCCATTCCCTTCCCTAGAAGCCCAAAAACCTCTGTAACTCGAACTTTTCAACCTCTATAACTCGAAGTAATTTTCATTTCCCTTCAACGACTTTTCCATGTTTTTTAACCTCTATAACTCGAAGTTCAGTTTTGCAACCTCTATAACTCGAAGTTAGTACATATGGCCCTTTTAAACCTCTGTAACTCTAAGGTTTTGTTTTTCGGAACCTCTATATTTAGAAGCTAATACAATACAATTGTTATCAAACAGTGTTCGGAATCTTTAAGGCAAACAAAAATTACAGATTTCTTTTAATGTTCAATAAATATACAATATATGAAAACCTCTATAAGTCGAAACCTCTTTAACTCGAAGTTTTCACCGTTTCCCTTCAACTTCGACTTATCGAGGTTCTACTGTAGTATCAAATTGGCAACGAATAGATACCAAAAATGTGGATGAAATCAAAAATTGATTTAAATTTATGGCATTAAATGGATATCCACTTTAGTATTAATTTGATACTTTCAAGAAAACTGTGTATCAAACTATTTATTTTTAACTAATACAAATTTAGAGAGGATAAATAATTCAATTAATAATAATTAATAAATAATAATAATAATAAATTAATAATATATAAAATAATAATAATAAATAATAATATATAATATAATAATAATATAAATAATAATATATAAAATATATATATATATAATATAATTATAATATATATGTATATATAATATATATATAATATATTAATAATTAATAATTAATAATTTCAATTCATTTAATTCAATCAGACAATTATTTGAATTATTTTAATTTTATTAATAAAAATCGTTGTCTGGCGAATTTTATTTTAAATGGTAATATTTATTTCAATAGTAAACGTCTGTTTCGATCAAACATTAATTATAGTTATTGTAAATATTATAAAAGTAGAAAAGACCGTTTTAGTCAGACAGACTTGGTTAAAATTGTGATTTAAATTTCAGTAGCAAATGCCTATTTTAGTTAGACAACGATGTAATAAATTTTCGTAAATTTTACAAGTTGTTAATCAGCAGATTGAATTATAAAATCAAATTAAAAATAGGAATAAGTTGAACTAACTAATTTAGAATTAAAAGCAAGAAGTCAAGAGATGTTGAAATATATAATACAAAAAGTAAAATAGCTTTTAATTGAAAAATAAATTTAATCGTAAATTTTCGATTGCAACAAGTTGTACTAAATATAGTATTTCAGTTGACGTTGTGTAGCACAAAGTTGTATATCTTATGAAACTTTCTGCAAAATCCTCAATCTGCGTGCTTTACAAGGACAGTAAATATTTTCTTGTTGTGTCCATAAGCTTAAGTTTCAATTACCATTTAAATATCTCGGTTGTCTTTTATTTACGAACAAGATAGTGTAGTGTTTTTTCTCTTTTTTTTTGTTTAAATGCTAGTTTACTTTGCAGCAAGTAGACGTTTTATAGTCGGTAAACGACTGTGATGATCCTTTCACGACTTTCACGTTGCCGTGAGCATCAGAGAGTGAGTTTTGCGGGTCTGAAAAGCATGTCTAACCCGCACTTGGCTAGTTCACAAGTCTTATATAAAAGAAGACAGAATTTAACTGAGAAAAGTTCTTTCGGTCACCGACTGCTACTTCAGGTTTTATGAAGGCATTAGAAAAACATTGCGTGCCATTTTTTTGCGCTTTTTTTCTCCTCAAAGTGCAAGAGAGATTTTTTATTTTTCTTCCTTTTGACTAAACTAACCAATATTAACTTAACGTAGTCATAGTAATTTATTATTTACCCGAAAATCTCTAGTTTGTATACTTAATTATTTAATGAAAATATATCTATATTATTACTTATTTAGAATTTAAATGGAAAGAAATGAAAAAATTTTTCTTTACTCTTATAAAAGATATTGTAACATTACTTTGACACGAATCCATGATTGGAAAATAAAAATTCCAGTTTGTAATTTAAACCAAGAAATATCAAATCACAAGATTTTTTTAAATCTCAAATATCATCAATTTTTAACATGTGCAAAATATTCATTTCTCTGGAGTAAAAAGATTTTTGTAGTAATATTTCTTTCTAAAAACTTATAATAATAATTATCTAATAATGAAAACATTTAACAGGATGTTCACTAAATGGAAAGTAATAATTAAGAGGTGAAGATCAGTGTGGCAAATCAAGCGTAATGTAAGTTTGATATTCGATTAAAATCAGTAATTTCGCTGAGGGAGAGTGAGAGACACAGATATACCTTTAATGTGAATAACTTATTTTCAAATGTGTGTGCGACGAGGAATAGCCGATCTCACGAATTTCGCAGAGCAGCCAGTTAATGCCTGCAGTAAAATCGCTTATCGATAATTCCCACGGAAATCCAAAGGCACTAAAGGCTCAACCACTCTGTACGTGCTGTAATGTTCTATACTTGATGATCGTAAAACTGTCCTTTCAGTCAACGCAAGCCAACGGGCGTAAAGTTAAAGACGATTATATTGTTAACGGTAGTAACTTTAGATGTTATATAAACGTTTATAAGATTTATCATGGATAGAAAATTTTCAAAGAAAACTACTTGTCCCAATTTTCTCAGCGAATTATTGCTCTTTAAATTATATAGAATTTTTAACGAGATATTGTCAATTTTTTAAATTCTTTTTGCTTCTACTCAAAGTGCCCGAGGAAATTTACAACATTTACTTAGTTACTGCTGTTTAATGTTCGCAATTTATTTTGAGTATATAAATAACATTTATTTGCAAATAGAAATATAGCAGAATAGAAATATGTGTAATTTTGAAAATAATTTTGATACCATTTTGATACCAACTTTTGTACCCCAATCATCTAATCTGTCAGGAATTTTAAGTAATTATTTATTATTTAGAGCTTTATTAATTGCAATTTTTGCTTAAATCGAATCTCTAAATATCCATGTTACATTATCAATACTTCCTTTTGCTATATAACACCTTCTAAATAGTTTTTTTC